ACACCAGGATACTCCAGCCTGGGCAACAGAGTGAGACTCTGTCTCAGAAGAGAAAAAGAAAAGAGTAAGTCCTAGTAGCTCATTTCTGTAATCTCAACAGCTTGGGGGCCTGAGGTAGGAAGATATCTTGAAGCCAATTCAAGACCTGTCTGGGCAAAAAATAGAAATAAAAACATTAGCTAATGTGGTAGTACACGCCTGTAGTGCCAGCTACTTGGGAGGCTGAGGCAGGAGGATCACTTGCACCTAGGAGTTTAAGGCTGCTGTGAGCCTAGACCAAAGAGTGGGAATCATTCCTTACAAAATAAATAAATAAATAAATAAAATAGAAGTTGGGCCAGGTGGCTCACACCTAGGATCCCGGCAATCTGGAAAGCTGAGGTGGGTGGATCACCTGAGTTCAGGAGTTCAGGACAAGCCTGAACAAAGCAAGAATGTATCTCTACTAAAAATAGAAAAACTAGCCAGAAATTGTGGTAGGCACCTATAGTCCCAACTACTGGGAAGGGTGAGGCAGGAGGATCGCTTGAGCCCAAGAGTTCAAGGTGGTTGTGAGCTATGATGCCGCAGCACTCTATCCAAGGATAACTGAGTGAGACCCTGCCTCAAAAAAGCAAAGCAAAGAGAGGGAAGAGTAGAAGGGAGGGAAGGGGAGGAGAGAGTGATTCAGAATATTGTGACATTTGGGGTGGCATTCTTAAAAATTCTCCCTAGATACACCAGTAATAATCTTAAAAACTCAGAAATTAAGGTAGAGTTGTGTAAGGTGAAAATAAAATTTTATAAAGGATTCTGAGTGCATCTTGCTGGTTGAGGGGGTTAAAGAAGATACTAACTCACTTGTTCAGTAGTCTCAAATCTTACCTCTCCAATGAGGCCTATTCTGGACTACCCCATTGAGCACTGCAATCCTCATCTCCCTTAACTGTTCCTCATCCCCCCACCTTGACTGTCTATCTTCCCTTGCTAGAATATAAGCTCAATGAGGCAAAGATCTGCTGTTCATTTGTATGCCAGGCATCTAGAATAGTACCTGACACCGGGTAGGCAGTCAGTAACTACTGAATTACTTGCAAGTTAGAATTAATACCATCATGTTTTCTAAAGATGCCATTTTTCATTTTGCTTCATTTAAAACTACCTTATTATTGTTCAAGAAACCCTTCCCTTGGCCTGGTGCCTGTAGCTCAGTGGTTAGGGTGCTGGCCACATGCACTAGGGCTGGTGGGTTCGAACCTGGCCTGGGCCTGCCAAATGACAATAACCA